AAAACATAAAATAAAAATTATATAACAAATATCGTTTGGCAGTTTTTTAAGAAAAAGATTTGGTAATACTTAAATATATGTAAAATATTTTATAAAAGTCTTGACGATAACATAAAATCATTATCGTTTGTGTAGTGACGAAAACAATAATAATTGTATTTTGAATTGAATATTTTTTTCTAATTCACTAATTTTTGTTATTTTTCTATACAACGGCCTGTAATTGTACATTACTTGTAACATGACAAAAAGGTACCCCTCATTTCTTTTGTTTATTTGTAAATTTTATTAAATATTTTACTTTGGTTAAGCCGACTGTGAGTGTATACTCAATGTCGTTTATTGCCGTTCATGTTTCTGTCATTTTTTCGGGATCCTATGGTTTTGTAGGCTGCTGAGTTTGGAGTTTTGTGACGTTCACGGATCCAACTTACACCGAACCATCACCATACATTACCAACGTCGAAGCCAACAGTGTAAACTTTAATTGTTTAAGATTACTCGAACTATTTCCCGTCATTAGTGGTATTCTTTTGTATGCGATGCGACTTTGTTTTTTGTGTTTGTTAAATATAATTAGTAATGGCCATAATCGAGATATCTGCACCCAAAGAAAACCCTCAATCAAAATTGAAAGAGAAATTTTATCATATTCTTATAATTACATTTTGACTAGTCCAGAGTGTATTATAAGACTATAGGGAATTCGTCGAAAATATTATTAGTAAAAACATAGCATACTAATAAAATAATTAATAATATAATAATATAATATAATAATAATAAAAATAATAATAAAATAATAATAATAATAATAATAAAAAATAAAATAATAAAAATAATAATAAAATAAAATAATAATATAATAATAATAAAAAGAGTTTAAAAATTATAAAAAATAACAAACCATAATAGATGCAGGTGCCATTGTAGAGGATTTTTTTTTAATCCAATATACACACAGAGGCTAATTAATCGAAATAAACGCAAGACCTTATAAACGATTGTTAACGCTGAAGCGAGAATTCATCATAAAAATTAACTCAGTCAACTGCGTAAAGAATAAATTTAAGTGCGAATATATATTTCCATGCTTTACTTTTATAAATTCTCGTAATAAACAAGTATAAGAATAAGTGAGGTAGGATATTTTAAAATGGATAACTGAACATTGTTCGACTCCGAGATACTCCTTATCCTCTATATATCCCTTCCCCACCATTATCGTATATTTTAATTATTGAATTTTTGTTTATTACATGATGTCAACATTTTAAGATGTACTCATTTCTATTATAAGTACAATATTTTTCTATCGAAATATATATTTTTTTTAAATAATAGAGTATTAAATTTGTAACTACTTTAATTAATTTTTTTGTGGCTTATATATTGTTATGTGTTAAGGTTATAAATTAAAAATTGTAAGTTTTCTCAACAAACATTATTAAAATGTATTATTTAATAAAAGTTTTTATTCAGCTAAAACTATTAGATTTATTATATTGTACTATTAGTCATATAATGATTATTGATGATGAAGTTTATTTCCATTGGCATACATATAACATTTATTAATAAAGAAAATCAAAGCACAGTGATGACAAGTATAGGTGATATCAGACAATAATTTACATCACATCCTAAAAAATGGTTCGATGTAAATCTGTTAAATTGTAAGAACTTAACGGCTATTTTCTCATAATTGAATTATATTTCAAGAGCTTAAATTTGATATATGTTAAAATTTGTAAGACGTTACGGAACATTGTCAAAATTGAATGTAAAAGAATTTTACATGCTTGTGTGGTCTTTTTCAAATTATTCCTGTATATCCATTAGAATTAATTCTATTATCATAAAAAATCGTATTAAAAGAAACCTTAATGTGAATTTTATATTTTATTAAACAATTTTTTTTAAATTAATTTAAAAATAAAAACTATTCAGAGGCCAAAAATATTACTAAAAAAACCAGGATATAAACTACATGTGTCTAACTATGTGTTTGGTATACGAGATTTTTTAATCATTTTTATAGCATTCGAATTAAATATTTTTAAAAATTTAGCTTTGATGCGAAGCAGAGAAAATATTAATTTTATATATTAAAGAAATTATAGTGTCTAGAATAAAAAGCTATTTTTGGATACAAAATAATATATAAAAATCATTCCATTCCATGACAACTAATTTTAATTTAAGTCAACAAAAGATTGTATAATAAAAAACCATCATTTATAAAAAGTTATTCGATTTAAAATTAATAATAATAATTAAAATATTACAATATGATGACTTTAAGACATACTGCTAATCCAGATGAACTAAAACAGTTCCTAAACATGGAAATCGATATAGTTTTACTGGAAGCACTCGTCAAAAAACAAATGTATGAGAATGTTACTGATCTAGTGCCAGATAGGTACAAGCAAGGAGAAAACTTAGTCAATAAAGAATTACTATTGAAAGAAGTTGATGAAATACCACCGGTAGCTATTATAGAGGAAATATTAAAAAATGATAAAAAAAATATACCAAAGATCATCCAATGTTTAATGCATATTAGACAAACAAACTNGAAGCACTCGTCAAAAAACGAATGTATGAGAATGTTACTGATCTAGTGCCAGATAGGTACAAGCAAGGAGAAAACTTAGTCAATAAAGAATTACTATTGAAAGAAGTTGATGAAATACCACCGGTAGCTATTATAGAGGAAATATTAAAAAATGATAAAAAAAATATACCAAAGATCATCCAATGTTTGATGCATATTAGACAAACAAACTATGACACAACTTTAAGTATAATAGATAATAATGCTGCTTTTAATATAATGACGAAATTTATTCAACAAGGTGAAAAATATGATGATGATTCATTTCACACAATGAAATATCAAATATACAAAATTGGGAGTTACAAACAATTAAATATTAACCATCGGCAACTGTTTCTCTTCCAAGCTTGTCCTTTACATAAAGTTAAAATGTACATAAACAAGAGGCCAAAAAAAAATGTGTTGTATAAAAGAATATTAGACTCAATTATGAACTGTGAACAAACAGCCTGTTGGGAATACAGTGTATTAGGAAAGTTTGTTAAAACTACTCTTGTTTATAAAGCACCAAAAGACATGAAAAAATTTACATTACCTAATAAAACATTCAAAAATTTAAATAAGCCGGACTACGTAATTATTTGGATGTTAAATAATGGAGTTTCAGACGAAGAAATAATTAAAAAGTGGAATGATAACTTAAAAAAAACATATAAGACATATTTTACTGAAGGAAAGACTATTGAAAAGACTTTTAATGACTATCATGGTAAAAATGATAACCTGGAATCATCATCTAAGTCAAATGACGAAATTAAACATTTAACTATCACTCATACAGGTATCATTGATGAAGAAGTCACATATGCTCAGATTAATCATGATGAAAACTCAAAAAACGATTNAGGTATCATTGATGAAGAAGTCACATATGCTCAGATTAATCATGATGAAAACTCAAACAACGATCATGATAGTAAACACAATGATGTGGAACCCATAAATAAATCAAATGATGGAGTTGAACATTTTAATATAACTGAAATACAAATCATTTTAGAAGAAATTTTATATAAAGTGTTTGATTATCATGAAAACTCAATCAACGATCATGATAGTATACACAATGATATGGAACACATAAATAAATCAGATAATGGAGTTGAACATTTAAATATAACTGATACCCAAATCATTGCAAAAGAAATCACACATACGCAGTCTGATCATCATGAAAATTCAAACAACGATTATGTTAGTAAGCGCAATGATGTAGAAAATCACNCATAATAGTATACACAATGATATGGAACACATAAATAAATCAGTTGATGAAGTTAAAAATTTAAATATAAGTGAAACACAAATCATTGCAGAAGAAATTATATATACACAGTTTAATTATGATGAAAAATCAAACAACAATCACGATAGTAAACACAATGATATGGAACACATAAATAAATCAGATGATGAAGTGAAACATTTAAATATAAGTAAAATACAAATCATTTTAG